TTTTTGTGTGTATTGTAATTTAATTTTATATTCGAAGAAAAAATTTGGTCATCTACAATAAGTTTTACAAGAATATTTGTGAGACACAAATAAATTTGATTATCAAAATAATAATTATAAATTAGTCATTAAAACAAAAAAAATCAAAAAAAATATGTTTGACGAGGATTAAATTTACTAATATGGGATTATATTTTTTAGAAAAAAATAATAAAAATTTAGATTAAAATTATTATTTTTTTCATTTCCGTTAGAGGAAAAGGGTATATGTGAACCATTTGTTTACAAGTAGGGGTATATATGAGTCACTTTCATAACAAGGGGTATATCAGCTCTAAATAACAAAGTTGAGGGGTATATCAGACCCTTTTCCCTATTTTCTATAGGAAGATTTAAAGTTCTCTAATAAATACGACTTATTATATTGAGTACTTACAACTCTATCATAATCGTATTCGTATAAGTAATTAAATAGAGAACATGATGTAAGTATCTCTTAGATTATAATTGAAATCATAGGCACGACTTAATTTTATTGTCATGGAACTCTTTTTTAAGAAAAAATACTCATTTCGTTTCACAAAAAATGATCTAGTTTGGATTGACACGAAATTTAAGAGTATAAAGAAACTTTTGAATTTTGTGGTCCTAAATTAAAGTTAAATCAAATGTACAAAATTGTCTTTTGATTTTATGGTCTTAAACATGTCACGTGAAAAACTGAAAGTAAAATGTTTTTTTCAAAAAAAAGGAAGAGATCATTCTTTTTTAAACAGATTAAAAAGAATAAGAGATCATTTTTTTAAAATAGAGGAAGTAATAAATTATACACCTTTTAACTTACTTGACTCATTCCACTTAATTAAGATGTGTGGAAGATGTTTAGAGGTTACGTGAGCCAAAAAAAAATTGTATAAAAAATTATAAAGAAAAACATGACTTCATGGGTAACAATATTTTAATGTATTTAAAGTATGTCTATGAAATTTCATATATGCATACATTAAATTATTCATATGATAATATTTTTTTACTATAATAAAATCGGTACAATGTTTGGTTAGAAATCCACATGTAATTAATTCTACATAATACTAATCAATATTTGGTCCAATTTAAAACATGTCAGATACGAATAAGAATATGATACGATTTTAATTTACTGAAAACATGAATTCAGATATGAAAATTCGAGAATCAATATAGAATGATATATAGTTGGTTGCCCTATAAATATGATGTTGTAATAAAAGAGTGCTAGAGTTAAAGATGTTAATTATATTTAGAATTTAATAAGATTTTTTTATAATATAGATCTGAATCTAAGTAGAATAAAAAGGTACTAAATAATATAAGATCCTACATTTTAGTGAGTTTGAATCTTCAATTAATTATTTCCTTAAGACCAGCAAAAAAACCAAATTTTTTTGTACTTATACAAGCTGGATTTATCACTTAGAAACTTAACTCAATTTCCAATACATAAAAGTTAATTAAACTTTCTTCATAAAATTTGTTAAACATTAAATAAAATATTTTAAATATGGCTTCAAGATGTGAAGTTTTCTTGGAGATTTTGCTTGCAATCTTAATTCCACCTCTTGGAGTTTTCTTTAGACATGGTTGTTGCAGTGTAAGACCAGCCCCCTCACTCTTTATAGTTATTTTATTATCGGTTATTGATCAAGAATGGTTATTAAATACCTTATGTTAAAAATTATAATATGTTTATATATATATATATATATATATATAAGTTAAAAAATAATTTTTTATATGTACAGACATCAAATCTCAATTATTTCTAGGGAAATTCCTGATTTTATTACTGTTTATGTCAAGTATTTTTAAGTTGCACCTAATGTGTTTTAATTGACCGGTCAGTAAAGTAAATGAAAATCATGGGAAATTGAATGATAGTTAAGAATTTTATTTATTTATTTGTCTATATTTTGACCGATCAAGTTATGTAATATTAATATTGATGATAAGTAACAAGTACTTGATTGAATTCACAAGCAAATGTTTTATGTTAGATAATTTTGTTCACAAAAAGTAAATAATAAGAAATTCACTTTGAAATAATTGAATTTTATATTCATAATTAAAATAATTTATAATTACATAAATATTTTTAAAAATATTTTATACTATTTTTTTTTAAAAAAAGCTTTCTTTCAAAACTTTCATAATCAATCAATTACCAAACTAACATATTTTGAATGCATCATTCCTATTAGTGACAAAGATATGCTTAGATTGAATCTCTATCAACACAATAAAATTTGTTAATTACTTTTATTAATTATTTTCTTTTGTTTTTGCAGTGTGAACTATTGATTTGCTTGATTTTGACCCTACTAGGTTATATTCCAGGGATAATTTATGCCATTTATGCAATTATCGTCGTTCGTGATTAAATTATTATTTGTAATAAAAAAACGTATTCAACGTTGCTTAAGAATTACACATGTATCATATCAGATAGTTTTTTTTATTCATAATTTTTCAACATATGAAAAAGAAAAATACTTTGAAATTAGATTTTCAGAATTGTCACTCCAACTTTTTTAATTTTAAGACGCCACGTTCAAAGTTTAAAAGAAAAGCTTCTAGTAATGTTTCAACAATATTAAGTTAATTCATCATGCTTGGTGACCTTATATGACGATTTCCTTTTAATGAACCTTGTGTGATACATATTTGAATCAATCATGTGAGCATCGAATATCAAATACGAAATCAAAGAATTATAAACTCTTTCAACACAATAAATTTTGCTAATCGCTTTGATAAAACTTTTTTAATTTTAATTTTAATTTTTTTTTTGCAGTGTGAATTCTTGATTTGCTTAATATTAACCCTATTAGGTTATATTCCTGGAATTATTTATGCAATTTATGCAATTGTGGTTCGTGGTTATGATCAAGATGAAGAATGGCGTCCTCTCACAGCCTAGTCATTATTATATTTTTTAATTTTTAATTTATTATTATTTCTATTTTTATTTTTTTTAATTTTTGGATAATAGGAAAACAATAATTTTACATGATTTAATTGGTTCTTTAATTGCAAAAATTAATAAAAGTTTATCATGTCCCTATTTTTCATTGATTAGAAATAAGATGTTCATATCAATTTCTTTACTTTTGAAATAGTTTTTTTGATGATAAGATTGAGAAAATAAATCATTTATAAGTATATTTTACAAAAGAAAAAATATAAGGGTACACAATTTTTAAAAAATAAAGATGCTGGAACTCCTTGATTTATCAAAGATTTTCTTGTGAGCTAATATGAACTAATTATTTTTTAATGGAAAATCCTCACTATTAACGAAATCTTATTTGTTTTACTACAACTTAAATATTCAATACTAATAATCGATCTAAAATTGTAGGTCGAAAATTAATAACAGCACAAACTTATAATTCATATTTCCAAATTATATATATATATATATATATATATATATATATATATTATTTATTACTAATTAAATT